GTACACCCCTAGGTGCCATTTTAAGTGTGTACATCAAAACTTTTTTTTGTTTGAAAAAGTATTTCTTAGACTAATTTTTTGTGTTTTTTGTTTTTTACATAGACATAAAAAAATAAAAACTTTAACCAACAATCTCCTAATAGGTCTGATTAAGATCCACTAACACAATTACGATTTGGGTCTGGCCTGCTCAAATTGAAAATCCTAAGCAACAACAAACCCTAATCTCTAGTAGCTGGAGAAAGTGGCTGTCGTCGCCGCCGCACAAGAAACTGGAGTCACGTAGACCGTCGGTGAAGGTGGTGCCTGGCAGGAGAGACGTCGTCATAACCACATCTGACGGCATAGGTTAATAGATCTCGAACAATACTCGCCAAATAGATCGAAGACCCATGCATGCCGAGCGAATAATCTGACCTATAACTGACCTGAAACCTGAAAACCTTCAAATGCAGATAGGAATCGACGACTAACCTCCACCCAGTGCAGACAGTCATCAGAAAAGCCGAAACGGATAAAGCCACCGCACCAGACAGTAGCAGATCTGAGATCAACTACTACAATTGCTTACACAAAACCGGAGAGCGAACCTAAAGCATGGAGTGGAGCAGAGAGCGAGTAGAGTTTTACCTTGAACACGACCAGAGATGAACAGGCGAGGGGAAAAGGTCTCTGTGGAAGAGAGATCTCCGGGAGAACTCGACTAACCGAAAGATCTACCAATCCCTAGGAGATCTAACTGAAAGAAGAGACATCCATCGAGTCTTCACCGAGAGACCACACACCAGCACACAATCGACGAGTCACTAGTGCGACGACCACACCGCCACACCGGACTGAACCATCCCGAAGAACCACTGAGAAAGAGAGAAATAAGGACAAGTCGAAAAACCAGATCTCGCGCTCAGATCCGATCTTGAGCCAAGCCAAGCCACTACCGCGAAGCTGCCGCTAGATCTAGCCGGAGATACCGAGAATCGCCTCCAGAAAGCAAGTGAGGAAGCCAAATCTTCACCGGAAAATGGAACCCACCACGGACGAAGCGCTGTAGGGCACAAAAGCACGCGGAGCCGGCGAGAGCCAGCCGCCGGTGAGGCAAACTATGGTTGGATGTTGCGGCTAGGCGACTTTGCGTTTTAGTGAGAAGAGAGAGAGAAAACTTCTCCCTACCTACTCCAAACTAATATTTTAAAATAATATAATGTACATCAAAAATTTTAAAGTATTGACCATTTGTAGTCAAGTATGGAAATTGAACATTAAAAAAAAAGCCAACTATATATATTTTATTCTTTTTGGCTAAATGTTTAGG